TACGCGGAGTTGGGACTCCAAAGCAGATCTTGAGAAAAATAAAATACTGAAATTTACCTGAGTACGGGTGACTTCTCTCCAGATGTTTCCGGAGCGGGATTTGCAGAAGTCGACCTCGTTTTGCATGACCGACTGCATGTGCTGCATGTAGTTGTAAAGCATTGGCACGGAGATCACGCAGATAAGTGTGGCCACGGTGGAAAGGGCCACACCGACGAAGGCGACTCTCCTGAGCGAGAGTGCCTCAGATTCCCAATGCTTTACGTCGGCGGTCATGCTTGCCATTCCACCAAACATCGGGCGCTTTTATACGGTTTATTCGGTACGCCCACCCCTATCAACACTGATGTTTATCGCATTACTACATTTTCGGCTTAGGAAGTTCGATTTTGTCGATTAGCTTCAATGAAGGTCACCTATAGTTTGTGATACGTTGCGTCCGCGCCATTGCAGTTCTCTCTGGACCGAAAAGCAAGCATAAGAACAAGCTGAGTCGTTGGTAGCTTCTCAGAATAGCTTAAAGTTAGGAATCCTTTTTGCCGTTGGCTTTGTAATCCTGTGGCCCTACAGTAAGATCCAATTGCTACAAGCAAATGGGAATTGTGGGGATAACAGTGTGATGCAGCTAAACATAAAAGGAGAAAAGCTAGTTCACAGCAGTAAGTGAGAAGCTGGAGCATATTTGAAAAGTACCGGCGAACACCTTTCGACTTCGCGAAGTCATCTTACTCCTACTTCGATAGATAGAGGTTTGCGACCCCACAATCAAAAGTAGGCATTACAGGCTCTATCCGAGATGTGTAGCACTAGCATGCCTATCGAGCACTAGTTCGATAGGCATTCTAGTGCTACACTCATCCACACACTAGGACTCTGTAACAGGGAAATAGTGAGCAGGGAAATAGGAAATGCCTTTTTAGAAATGGGAAACCTTCTACACTCCGGCACCTGCTTCGTTTTAACAAAAGGTCACGTGTGAGAAAAGTTATGACCGTTCAAAGTCTGAAAACTCGTGGGTGATACTAAATTTCACCAACGACGCAATTCGATGAACCGACGAGTACAAGTCGATGAACCTAAATTGAAAATTGATGAAAATTTCTGAAAAAAAGATGTATAAGTGAACTTAGTGCAAGTACTCAAACCTGGCGACTTCAAACGCAGTGTTTTCCCAGCGTAAGAAGTTCTCGCGTCGCGCGGGGCGGAGGAGAGAGCTTTTGTTATTCGCAAAATGAGCGGGTATTTTGCAGTTGGCTCATGGTATCAAGTGGGAGCCCGGATTTGGCAACTGTAATTGGTGAAGTAGTTGGTGGCTCGCAAAGGGCGCAACGGGCGAGAGAGGCAGGAGGTGGGGGGGGGGGAGGGTGGAGTCGCGAGCCGAACCGGCGTCGTTGCGGTGCCTGCATGTCGATGAGTTGTATTGAGTAGAGATGTTACGCGCGCGAGGATCGAGCCGACGGAGGTGGGGGTACGGCTTTGTCGTCGAGCGCGCAGGCCGGCATGCGGTGCCTGTCAGAGCGTGCTGTGGCGCTGGGGAAGGAGCGGTATCGGCGGTTGTGGTGTGGAGATGTGGAGTTGGGTGCGTGGGAGAGAGGAAGGCGAGCCCCGCAACTAAGTGTCCAATCTTGGCGAAAGTGACGGGACCGGGGCGGGCGGCGCGACCGGGGTCGGCGGAGTGGCTACGTGGCCAGACTGTCCTGGTGGGCAGGTAGTGGGTTGCCGCGTAACTTCGCGGCCATTTTTCATTCTTTTTCCGATTCCAAATTTCCAGTTTTTCAGTTTAGGAACTTCTCGTCGAGTTGGGGGGGCGGGGAAGGTCGTCAGGCATTGGCTATCAATTTTCATGCTGTTCGGAAATAGTATTTGTATAGATTTTTGTCCCCAGTTTCTCATCCCAAAAGACAATGACAATTACGACTCCCTCCTTATAGTGTCCAATTGAAACAGAAAATCAACAATCAAAAAAATTTTTCTCTCATGACCAAACGCGATCCCCGTCAATACGGACCCTCACTCGTTGTGGTCATCACAACGATGGCATGCCCTGGTCGCTGGGAAGAACTTCCTGAGAATACCACCCCCTCCCAGTGTCCTGCTCGCCTTGGAATAAGAAAAATCAACTATCAAAAAAATTTTTTTTGAAATCGAAGTAACAATAGATGCTTCGTTGGGGTTTCCCCGCGCGTATCCCGTTCCCTGAATGTATTGCCTGAATTCATGCTCCTGAGCGCGCTGAGGGCCTAAAAATATGTAGCATCGGCTGCTGATTTAAGAGAACATTCAGGTGGGTATTAGTAGGTAGAAAATGATGCAAAGCCAGTCTCATCACGATTTCACGGCGGTTCTGCTGAGATGTTTGTAGTGCTGCTGCTTCCCATATGGAAGCCTACAAGATCTGCTAGAAAGTGGTGAGCTACTAGCGCATGATGCTGATACCCACTCTCCTCCCCTTCTCTCCCCTTCTCTATCCTCCCGTCGTAGCATAACCAAGGGCTTCAAACCGCCCCCAGCCACTGAGTTCTCCAGTCTATTTTGATTGTATGAGTGTCATTCATGTGTCAATATCGAGGTCTCCAACGCCTCACTGCAAGAGGCGTTTTTGTTTTTTTGCAAGCGTTTCCGGCCTCCGCAACATTTCAAGCGTGCTCCGCTGAGAAATCGATGTATCCTTATACTATTTTCACCTCTCGCACGCCTCTTCTGTGCTCATTCTCGCTTTCATTGCGATTATCGTGCCTTATGAGTAGGTATTATCGTATGTTATCGTGCGTTCTTATCTTTCTGAGAAGAATTGGAGCAGTTTGGCTTGGTGAGGGCACCAAATCGGTCCAGGCCACTCTGTAAAGACTTGTCAATCCTTGTGACCAAAGTGTGCTTATTTGTTCCATCTTGCAGCCTCACAACTTTACAAGCCTCACCAACTTCTCTGATAGTTTACAGGGAACGGCAAACAACTAGCCAACTATAGAAATGTCGTCCCCCTCCTCCCAAGCCAAGCAGCACCGAAGAATATTCAAAAGGCAGTCCCGGCTGAACCAGTTCGTAAGAGTCCTTCCTTGTGGGTGCAGTCTGGCCTTCAGTTTCTAAGATTATCCCTTTTTTGCGGCTTCACAGTGAGTAATGAAGTGCCTACATAAGTGACAGTTCTGACACCCCTCTAGTTGCCCCGCACCAAAACTCAAAGGTTATTTTCTGTCACGAGTTCATTTTTGCACTGTTTTTTTTCGTTTCTTTTTTGCCTGACGATACATTAGCATTGGATGACGCGAAGAAACGATTAGTGAGCTTCAGGATGCAGGGTATTGCTCTGTCCGTATAAAACAAGCAAGTCCGGAAAACTCGTCGAGAGAAGCTGCCAAGTCCTTTTCAGAAAGTTCTTCATTGTTTTTTTTTGCATTTTTTCTCCCCAGGAGGGTCACTCAGCGACTATGGGTTTATAACTGAACGCCTCTTTCCACAATATAGACGGGTTTGCCTTCAGGCAATAGATTACTGCCTGCTGACCGGCTGGCACGTGCTGCTTTGACGCTCAGGCGTTCTCTGTGGTTGTTCTCTCTAAGCTTTCAATCCGTTCTTTACCCGTACCCTTCGCCTTTCTCTTATTGTCTTCATATCCTCGGCCTTTCGTGATGTTTCTTCATGATTAGTCACATGTTTCCGGAGCACTTTGGCATTCGATCTCATCTTTACTTTCGAAGCACGTGGTCTCATCTTCAGAAGTTTTTTGAATCAATGGGACATGATTTAAATGCAATATCCTTTGATGAAAATGTCACGGTCAACAAAGAATTGGATGGATTGACCGTTTACCTCACACTTTAACCACGCGCACGGTCCGGTAGTCAAATCCCGAATAGACCCCCTCCCACGTTAATTAAGCCTTCTACCCTTCGGAGACAGTAATTTGGTATCATATTTGCCTGGGAGAATAAAACCTTGACTTGTACATCGGCTTACCCGTGCAAGTTATGGCATAGGCCAGGGCCACATCGCATTCAATAAGCCACTACGATTCCGAATGGAAGTAGAATGCGTGCCGCATACCAGTCAGGAAGTGATTAACGGCGAATACTACCCTACCCAAGAGAGCAGGTTGAGGGCACAATCACCTGCGACCATTCACTGCTCTCTGCCGACAACCGGACACGTCTGAAGCAAAAGCGGGTGCCATCTGAGAGTAGCGTGATACGGATTGGTGCTGATTTTGAGGAACCTTTCCATAATTTCCTCGTCGATTGAGTCTTCGAAATGCGATTCTGCCCCCCCCCCCCCTTAGTACATTCAAACCAATAACTGTAACCTTGACGTTATGACGCCCACCAATATCGTAACGCTGCAATATTTTTACTCTCTCCTTTGAATATTGGGATTGTCTCGTAAACCTCTTTGACACCCTTGTTAAAAACCGAGTCCGTGATTACCTGACGTTGCAGAAGACCTTCCTTGCCAAGGTGTAGTAGTCGGCAATCGCAAGAAAAGCACCGCTTCTGCGGTCTCGAGGTCCTTAGTAAGCACGCCACGCCCTCCGCCACGATAAGAGGTCTCCGCCCCCGACTGTTCCTCCACCTTCATCAGTTCTTTTATCCTTCCTACAAAGCGGCGGAGTTGTTTACTTCCTTTACCAAACCATTCGTGTGTTTCTCTTGATAAGGTTCAGTATTTCTTACATCTTTCCATGCTTATATAATACTTAGGACCAATAGGGGTGTTGTTCAGTGCATTTTTATCAGTTTTTTTTTTTTTTTTTTCACTAACGATTGTGAGTAGCACGGTGACATTTATATCACTCATCGACCACGAATGACAGTCGTAGGCTCTGTCTTCCAAGAAACAACTTTCGGAGTAGTTTTCTATTATACACATGATCCTGTGTAGAACCGATGGAGATTTTCTGGAATTGATAAAAACGCTGACAAAATGGCCCCGCCATCTGACAAAATGAGGTATCGATTTCCATTAAAGTACCCATTTTCGATGTATTTCATTTCTGTGTTTATGTTCTGCCGTAAACCCATCTACACAGCTGAATACATACCTCCTCGAAGGTTTTCTCAATAGCTTATTGACTTTCATGACGGTTGTCGCCAAAATGGGCAAAACTTTTGGTCCTGAGCGAGGACTCGAATCCTACCCTTACGCTTAATCCGCTCTTGGCAACATTTTCTACCAGTAGTGGTCGGTTCTGGATGAAAACAACCAGTGATAGGAAACGCCGCGGGTGGGCCCATTCCATGCCTGCTGGCACTACCCCGACTGATTGCGACCGCTTAGCTGTAAGTGATTTA